GCAATATGATAAATCCTTTATTTTTTCAGGCTAGTGGTCGTAATATTTATTTTGGGCTTATATCAATGTACATTTTTTAAGCCTTCAAATCATTGCAATATTTATAATGCCAAAATCATTAATTTTCTTTTATAAATTTACTTCTAGCTGACATCTCGGAAGACCCTTTTCAACATGGGCGTCTTCTCCGACCGATTGACTTATTGACCACTGCTCCATCTATAATCTCTAAATCAGATGATTCTGCCTTAAATTTTGTCAGGGATTTTAAGGAATGCATTCACGAACCCGATTCTATTCAAGGTATACCTACCTTTTGCGATAAGCTAATTCAAGATTCCACTATTGATGTGGGTGATAATAAAGTGAATTTTGAGAGTGATCACGGTTTTAATTTTGACAAATCCTCATCAGAAGATGAAAGTTTTCTCACACCGAAGCATGAAAAGGACGTAGAAGAAGAGAGTATGCTAGCCTATCAAATGCATCGACGTGACTACTATTCCAGCAAGCTGGGCTTTAGTATTGACTCTCCGGCTGAGTTAGAGTCACATCTCTTTCCACTTGTGCGAGGCTATGTCTTCATGCTCCAATGGATACTCGATTATTACTACCTTACTGTTGTCGACTGGGGATTCTTCTATGCATATCACTATGCGCCATTTGCTTCTGACTTCCTTTTATTCATTGATCGTTTAGCTGATTCTATTGCCTCACCCTCTTCTGACTCTATTCAAGAATCGAGAACTTGGATTAGCTTTTCTGCTGATAGCCAGCCTGTGCTTCCTTTTGAGCTTCAGTTTCACATTTTCCCATCAGCTAGTGCCTACGTCCTCCCTGGGCCACTCCGTTCTCTGCTTAGTGACCCTGAGTCTCCATTGGCATCTTATTATCCGACTGAGTATCAGAGGGATATGAACGGCAAAATTGCTCCTTGGGAAGCAGTTATAGTAAGTTTGATTATGTTTAGATCTTTTGTTTATTGGAATAAATGTATATGCTAGAGGTTGTTTGACCTTGTTTTCGCAACATGGTCATATTGGTAGGAAGACTTAGAGGAACACACCTAGTCCGGAGTCCATTGTCTGCATGATCATTTCCAATGTTAAACCATGGACGTGGTACATTCCCAAACGTTTCACCGGCATCGTAGTCGGCATCGCCATTCTTAGCACCACATAACAACTCGTCAAAGAGACAAGTGAAGCCGATCCTTTGACCAAACTTATGCTAAACAATTGTGGTATCTTCCCTTCTGCCGTGTGTTATTCGCGTTTCCGGTAGCATCCTATCATTCCCTCATTATTACAATTTTTACCGTGTTTATTTAGATAGTGTGGTGTGCTTGTTTGAGCGACATGA